AACGATATTTGCCCTTAAGATCTCTAAGAAATTTTGGAATTCAAGAGGACCATTAACTTGGCCAATAATTAATGCGGTAACTTCATCCCACAAATCCTTGCGCAGTGAGGACAAGAAAACAAAATTATTCACTACTAAGTCTTCAGACAGGAATTTTAATAGGCCATAGAATATAACCAACTAATCTGAAATTTCTAGCACCAAGCTTTCATAATTAACCGAGTGGTTCAGGAACTAGCAACAGACCCAGTAATAAAAACCAAGCTTATTCTTATGCCCTAAAAGCAATCTTAACAGTCTACTCCAAGACTCCAAGATAAAAAATTACCAGGATTCAGTTTAATGCTCACTAGAGACTGACCAGGAGCATCGGAGTTGACAAGAGTTAACGGATCAGAATCATTAATTTTACCATTATTTGCAGTGGTATTATCATCCATTTTCAAGATAGAACAGAGAACAATGAAAGATGCAGCAAGAAGGTTTAATGGAAAAGACAAAGGAATAAATAGAAAAGTTTCTGAATCGAACCTGCAGGCTCTGATACCATGAACAGTTTTTGAATTCAAATATTGGAGAAAAAATATTGCTCTGTATTTTATTTCTCAAGTATCAATGTTCAGCTACAGAGTGAATTTATATACAAAAAGAGAATAATCTAGAATTAGCTAAATGTCTAAATCTAATTAATTGGTAGATATAATTCTGTACTTGGATTAATTAAGCTGGAAATAAAATCTGGAATGGATAATTGAATTTGAACCCACAATGATGTACAATTGTGGCTAATGATTTATAGTTATTACATTGGATTATATTGCTGAAATAAATGAATGGAAATGATTGAACCAGCAATGATGGACAATGATTGGCTAATGATTAGTTATTGCTGTTAGGCTCTGTTGGGCTGTGCTGTGGTGATTATTGACAGGCTGTAAGGTGGTTGAGTTAGTTATTTAGGTATGGATTATTCTGTACAGGGTCGTACTCTGATGTCAACTCCTTGATTGGGCTGTAAGTCCTTAATGGCGTGAAGATACTTCCAGTGAAGAAGCATGCCACAGAAATCCTTGGTCCATCACGGTTAGCGATTACTTTGTGTTCCACACTTTTAAATTTGTCATTTGATATAATCTGCCACCATAAAGTGAATTATTAGAAAAAAGAAAAGATAAGTGTAATACAAGGACAAAGGTGTTTATCTACCCAATAAAAAACAAACCTTAAGAATGTCTCCCATGTTTATTACCAAGCTTCCAGGAATTGGTTGTACATTAACCCATTGACCGTCCTGAAGGACCTGGAGGCTACAAATTTGACTCTGCAGCAGTAGAGTCACCATTCCAGGATCTGTGTGCTTGCTAGCTCCTAGAGTCAGCTCTGGATCAGGACATGCTGGATAATAGTGGCAGCTAAAGGTGTATTCTTCAGCACAGCCCAGTGATCTTCAGTGGTCTGTTTTTAGGCCAAGTGCCTCTGATAGTAACTCGAACAAAGAGTTCCCCAATTTTTTCATATGTTCAGTGTACTCCAATATTGCCCTTCTATGAGTATGACCCAATCATATAACAGAAACATCCATTGAATTTTTCTTTTCTTTTCTTTTGGAAAAATATTAAAAGAGTTACAGAGGATATTAAAAGGTTGTTCAACTAAATAAACAGAACAATAGAAAAAATGAAATCAAAAGCAGGGTAGTTCAGGTAACTAGTCAGATTATATACCTGCAAGTAGCTGGCAATTCTTCAGGGTCAAGATGATCGGGCATGGAAATGGTCAACGTGTCCCTCCAATTAGCAAATCTCGAACTATATAGATCATAATTGGAGTTGAATCTCACTTTTCTCGTAAGATCCCGAGAGTAGAACTTCTTCTTGACCTCAAGGTCTTGCTCATTAAACAAGCGTACCCCATTAATCATCTCATCAAAAATACCCAGAGGAATTTCATGATTAACCACTTGGAAAAAGCCCCACTTCCCCGATGCAAGCCTTACTTCCTCTATAATCTCCTTACGCCGCTTGTCCTTCTGGATGTCACTTAAATCAATGACTGGAACTGCCATATCAGCCTGCCGGGAGTGCAACTCCTCGGCAAGATCCTCAGGCGGTCGCATAAATATTTAGGGGATACTCAATAGCATCTACGAATCCTTTGACACCAGCATTTGAGTCATCAAACGCTTTCAGCTCTTTCATTCTTTCAGGATCCAGTTTGGCCGAAGGTCCTCCAATTGCTGTCATACCTATTTTCGGTTTCACAATTTTGCAACACAACTGATTGACGAGCACTGACATTAGAAATGCAGCTTAGAGGGCAATCAACCCCTTTAATGGGCCGTTTCATTCTTATAGACTGGACTACCCTCTAATAGGCCCATTATGTGGCACCGCCTAATACAGAATTTATTATAAACAAAAAATTTAGGCTTTGTAAAAAGGGTGGTTCTTATTCACATAAGGCAATCAAACTCAAGTGTTCAAATTGATCATTATGATTTGCTCAACCGTGATGTAGCAGGAGTTGCTTATAGTAGATTAGTTCACAATTAAAAGAGACCAGAGGTAGAGACAAAATTTACTGTGTAATACTTGTGTCGTCTAATACAAAAGAATCAATAACAAGATTCGGACATACAAAAGATCAAGACAGCATCGTATTGCTGTCCTCAGCTTGGTTTAAAAACAAGAAATAAAGGAGAGAGACAATGTTTCCCCAAATTTCACCACTTTGTCTGATTAATAAATGGAGTACTGAGACAAAGTTCAAAGACAACAGGTCAACATAATATATAATACACTCTGCTTGTCCAAGAGTAACGAATGCAGAAAAACTGAGAAATTGTAGACCATGCCTGAAATATATTCATAGTTTGAGATAATGCAATCCAGAATTCCCATCAATTCCTTTTGAGTAGATTTTAGCAACATAATCGCTCATTGTAGTTTCTTTGTATTTTGGGGGATTTTCTTTTGACAGTAACTGCTTGATTGGCCCATACAGTCTAGAGGAAGTAGTTCCTTGCTCCAAATGTGATCTTAAAAAACAAGCAACTGAAATTCTTGGTCCGACATTCTTTGCCAGTACCCTGTGATATACACTCTTGAACTTATCATTGCTTAATATCTGCTCAACAACAAACGAGACCAGATAAGATAATCTTGATCAAATAAACCTTCCAAATTAAAATGCTAGAGAGATAGATCCATTATAGCTTAAGGATTTACTGTAAGTAGTTTTATCGTTTAGGATCAGAAGTAAATAATACGTGCCTGAGACATATCTCCCACATTTACCACTAGAGCTCCGGGAATAGGAGTAACATCAAACCATTTATCATCATGAAGAACTTGAAGGCCACCTAATTGATCTTGCAAAAGTATTGTAAGGAAACCACTGTCAGTATGTTTGCCAACTCCTAATGTCAAGTTTGGTTCAGGGCATGCAGGGTAGTAATGACCAATAAAATAAAGCCCTTCCGCACAACCCAGATCTTGCAAGTGGTTCAGGTTAAGTCCAAGAGCTTCTGATAGCAGTTCGAATAACGTTAATCCTAAATCCATTACTTTGCTCGAGTACTCAATCATTGTATCTCTGTTATAAAGCACACAATTAACGAAATATTATTGATAATTATTGCACATGAGATAAATCCAATTTGTTGAATGCACAAAAGATAAGTAGATCCATTACCTACATACTGCAGGCAATTCTTCAGGATTTGGCGGATTAGGAGCCATTGCACAATATAATGAATCCCTCCAATTAGCTTCCTTGGCTCGATAGAAATCAAAGTTGGTATTATAAAACACCTTTTTCTTTTCATCTCGTGAAAAGAACTGTTTCTTCACCTCTGTGTCTTGTTCATGAAATCTGCGGATGCCATCAAGCATACCATCCAAAAGAGTTTCAGGAATTCCATGATTAATCATTTGAAAGAAACCCCATTTCTCGCAGGCTTCTCCAAGTTTATTTATTACCTGTCTGCGCAAGCTTGCATTTGTATGGATACCTCCCAAGTCTATCATTGGTATGCTGTGCATATCGTTACCTGAAAATGGCTTGTCATTGATCTTGGACGGGTCATGAATGAATATCCTGGGGATTTTAGCTACCCCAGCATCTGCTAGACCCTTCACACCAGCTTTTGTGTCATCAAAAGCCTTTAATTCACTTTTCCTGGCATAAGTGTATTCCATATTTGCTTCAAATTTATCCTGAGGCTTTCTTTCATATGCTGATGGATATTTAAAAATCACTGATGGAGAATGGTGCTATGATGAAGAGGCCTTTCACTCGAGAAAACAATAGAGAAGATAAAGTTAAAACACAAAAGAACAAGAAAGCTACACTCATTTTTGTCCTCAGCTGGATTAGAACGTGCAAGGAGCCGACATTTGGCTCGCGCACTTGTAACAAAACTGATCAAACAACTAGACTTAGAGACTACGGACAAAAATAACAGGTCAGATTTATTTTTTAAATGAGGATAATGTTATTAAAAAAATGAGGAGGAAATAATTTTTAAAAATTTATATTTTCAATAGTTTAATTTATGGTGATTTTTCTTTTTCTAAAGATAATTTATAGTGAACGTATAAACTGACGTTAGACAAATCTAATGCAACCGAATGAGAACAATAACTGATTTTATAAAATTTCACTTAGCTATAGTAATTCATCCAAATAAATAACAGCTGGCACATAAAGAAATGCAGATTTGCGTTCGCTCATTCCATGACCGCGTGTAAATTAAACAACACGTCGCGCATAATGACGGTTCGCTTAAATGGCTTGCTGTCAAATACAATAGAACGAGATGCTCCTGTCATAACGAACGACCGCCAATAGTTTGAACGCCACGTCATATATTTAGAGAATTCTTCAAACGGAGAACACTTTATCCTTCAAAAACAAACCTGCAGAGTGTTCGTTTTAAGGAAGTCTTCTGAATCATACAGGTTAAGTTTACTTACCTTTGCAAGCACCACGACATAAAATTTAAACAAGGCACTAACAACGCAATTACTGGCTAGTATAGTAACATCAAAATCTTCCCAAAATCCAGGCTACATAAGAGCAATTATTGATATGGTTCAAGCTTATACAGGACTTGACAACACTTGTCACTGGACTGTAACAATTCACAGCTTAAAATGCTCTAATGCAGAGATCCCATCAAGCCCTTTAGCATAATAACGTGCCAAATAGTCCTTAAGAGTAGTTTCTTTAAAGACTGGTGGATTTTCTTCTGATAATAACTCCTTAATTGGCCCATATACCCTTGGAACATTCTGGGAAGGACCATGATGTCTACAAAAACAGGCAACTGAAATTCTTGGACCTACAGTTTTCGCTATTACTCTGTGCTGAGAGCTTTTAAAGGTATCATTAGAAATCAACTGCAAAAAGCACAAAATTGAGAGTAAGTAAAAGAAAATTATTCAATTTGACATAAACTAGCTCATTACCTGTAACAGATCTCCAAGGTTTATTACTAGAGCTCCAGGAGTTGGGGTCACATCAACCCATTGATCTTCACAAAGAACTTGGAGGCCACCAATTTGATCTTGTAAAAGCACAGTGAGAAAGCTACTATCAGAATGGCTACTAGTGCCCATTGTCAACTCTGGTTCAGGGCAAGCTGGGTAGTAATGACCCAGAAAGAATAGTCCCTCTGCGCAACCCATTTCGTTAAGGTATTTACGATTGAGCCCCAGCGCTTCTGACAGCAACTCAAACAATGTATGTGCTAATGCTATTACCTTATTCGAGTAATTCATCATTATTTCCCTGCGAAATGCTAACGTTCATCAAACACATGTATGTGAATTGATTCTATAAAGAATTGGCGTTATGTTTATATAAAAGATTTTATCACTTAATTACCTGCATACATGAGGCAATTCTTCTGGTTTTGGTGGACAAGGAGCCATGACACAACTAAGAGTATCTCTCCAATTAGCAGCCGGAGCGCTGTACAGATCAAAATTGGAATTGAAATATATCTTCTTGTTGGCGAAGTCTCTTGAATACAACTCTTTCTTTACTTCGTCGTCTTGCTCGTGGAATTTGCGGATCCCATCAATCATTTCATCCAAAACGCTTACTGGTATGCCATGGTCGACCACCTGAAAGAAACCCCATTTCCTGCATGCATCTCCAACTTTATCAATAATATCAGCTCGTCGAATTAAATCTTTATTATCTACACCTTCCAAGTCTATTATGGGTATACTGTATTTATCAGTTGAATTTGACTTGTCCTTGATCTGTGTTTGATCGTGAATGAATATACGAGGGATTTTTGAAACTCCAGCATCAACAAGCCCCTTCACGCCGGATTTTGTGTCGTCAAAAGCCTTTAGCTGGCTTTTGCGATCATTAGTGGAACCAGAATCAGCTTCGACTGTGACTGAATCTGTAGCCAGCATTCTCGGTTTCTCTATTTCAGAGAACGAAGGAAAAAATAAAACTCAAACTGGAAAGGGCATCAAAAGAAAAAAGGAAGTTGTTATGTGATCCAGATTTGTGGAGTTCCTTTTAGTTTTGACTTTTTGTACTTCCAATGCAGTTCTTTTCAATGGTCACGGCTCTTTTTGAAGGTAATTAGCTATTTAATCCTGTATTTTGATCGAATTTACTGTTATATCCCCTCTGTTTGATAAAATTATTGATAAGACCACCGTTTCTTTTTGATAAAAATTAAATCATCCATATTAATTATTCTTAAAATTAATCAAACATTTAATTAAATTAAATAGAATTTTATTGAAAGATTAAAGGTTGATATTTTAATTTTCTTTATATTAAGATTTAATCAATGACAAATAGGAGATTGATTGTCATATTTGTTCACAAAGAAACATATTAAATAAAAGTAAAATAGCAAAATTCAAATATTATTCACTCCTAAAAAGAGGGAATGACAATAGATTTGGACAAATAAAAAAACTAAGTATGAAAAAAATTAGAAGAGAAAAGGAGTATAATTTTAGATATTGGTGTTGGCATTGGATAATGGAGAGACCACCGATGTCTCAAATTCTCTTCTTTGGTCAATTAAACCGATGAGGGTGAGTGTGTGAGACGCTGAGAAGCTTCATAATGAAGCTGGGGCCGCCTGAATAAGACCAAAGTTAAAAAACTGAAAAGGTTTGCGAGCCCTTCTTTCTACCATATTCTCATTTCTATGATTCAGAGCTTGAAATGGAGAAGAGGAGAAGTCCCATCAAGGCCTTTTCCATTTGAGTAGAGAACATATTCAGTCACAGTGGTTTCTCTATACTTGGGAGGATTCTCTTCTGATAATAACTCCTTAATAGGTCCATAAAGTCTTTATTTTGGCAGAACAGATGTGCTGAAAAAACAAGCCACAGATATTCTTGGCCCAATATGGTTTCCAACAACCCTATGCTCCACACTTATAAACTTATCATTTGATATCAGCTGAAAATTAATCAAACACAGCAAAAGTTAACGGCAAATAGTTAATTAAAAGCACGGGCTCAAAAAATTTTAAAGCTTGCCTGTAGAAGGTCTCCAATGTTAACAACGAGAGCTCCTGGTGTAGGAGGGACATCAACCCAATGATTCTGATGGAGAACCTGGAGACCACCAATATGATCTTGAAGAAGCACTGTAAAGAAATCATTATCAGTATGTTTGCTCGTGCCTATGGTTAATTCCGGCTGGGGACATGCCGGATAGTAATGGCATAACACAGCAAGTCCTTCAGCACAATCCATGTATTTCAAATGGTTTGGATTCAAACCAAGAGCCTCTGATAGTAATTCTAGCAGTAAATTTCCCAATTTTGTAACTTTTTTGCAGTACTCCTTTAATATATCCCTACAAAAAAAAGAAAATTGCATCAACAAAAAAGAAAACAGTATTTATTAAGATTTTGAGGTACCTGCACACTTCTGGAAGCTCTTCTGGTTTAGGGGGATGAGGAGCCATGAGAAAGAAAATAGTATCTCTCCAGTTAGCTGCCTTTGCAGTATACAAATCGAAATTACTGTTATACACAACTTTTTTAGTATAATCACGAGTATAGAAATCCTTTTTCAGTTCAATATCTTGCTCGTAAAATCTACGAATACCATCTTTCATTTCCTCCAGAACGTTGACAGAAATCCCATGATTGATTACTTGAAAAAATCCCCAACTCTCTGAGGCAGTTCGGACTTGATCAACCACCTGCTTTCGTCGGATTAAATCTTTATCTAGGGTTTGCAGGTCGATGATAGGAAAACTGAAATTCTTGGCATTATCAACAGGTGAGGTATCAGGTGGTTGATGAAAAAAGGGAGGGATTTTGGTAATTCCTGCATCAACGAGTCCTTTAACGCCTGCTTTTGTATCATCGAATGCTTTTAGTTCACTTGTTAGGGAATTATCCATTTTCTTTAGCCAGTAAGGAAAGCGAACACGAATGTTGGCACAGAAGTAAATATAAAGAAGACTGGGATATTTTTAATAAATTAAATAAAAATCTAAATCCAGACTAGTAATATATTTATGTGCAAGTTGTGTAAACTGTTTCTGGATTTTGTGAGGAAATAGTATGCAAGTGGATAAGGGAATCCATCAAGATGAAAGACATCTTCTTGGTTAGATGAGGTCTGAGAGTTCGAACTCCTTTAGAGCATTTTACCTCTTATCTAAAACGAGCAGAATTTAGTTTAGTAGACTTCGAAGACATATGTGATTAAAATTATAATATAAAAAGACCAAAATGAAAATAATTTTATTTTTTTATACATGCAAAACCAAGTCCGGGCCCATATCATACTATCCAGCTTCAACGAATTGACCAGCAGTAATAGGGCCCATCTCGGGTTACATAATGGCCAATGTGGATTTGGGCCGGTCATTTGTTGTGGTGGTCAATAACCAGTAGTAATTAGTGGTGATGCATAATGATAATTATTAATTACCAACCGATATTAATTAATATATTAATAAACACAAATTATGAAATATCTTAAAAATAGGAAAAAAAAAAAAAAAACATTATTCCCATTACAAATGACTAAATTCGACAGGCTTGCCTCTAGAAGATCTCCAACATTGGAGGGACATCGAGGACTGAAAAGCAAACTACCAAAATAAGATAACCCTTGACATGAAATTTATATAATTCTACAAAGCCAAGAACCTCTTGCTGATAAACCAATTCACCTCTTTGTTTGAGTTGTTTTAGCAGGCATTAAATCAGATACTGACAAGAATCCAGATTTAGCAACATCAAGGTCCTCAAACTCCTTCACTGCACGTGAAATATCTTCTTGGTTAATCTTCCCTCTCTCTTTGAGCTTAGAGATAATGAACTCAGCAGCCCTGTCAACTCCAAGAAGTTAGATAATGAACAGTCCGAAACAAAGAACAAAAAAAGATAGACTTATGGGAAAAGAACAGAATTAACTCAATTACCCAGCAACTTCATCAACATCAACATGAACAGCTTCAACATCTTGATTCGCCATCCTCCAATTAAGAATCCGGTTAACTAAAGCTTTTTGTCTGCCTTCGACGAATGTCTCAGCAACATAGAGAAAAAACTGGCCTAAACCGAAAGTAGTGCTCAGTATCCAAACTACACCAAAAAGGCGACCACCTTTGGTAGAGAAGCTCTTATCTCCATAACCCAAGGTCGAGACAGTTGAACAGACACAAAAAAGGGCATCGATCATGTTTAAATCTTCAATTGCAAATAAGAACATGGTTCCAACCATCATAAGCGCTGAAAGAATGCCCATGGCTATAAGGCAATTGAACATCTCTTCGCTAATTCCTAACCTCATCATAGTTTTAGATGAAGAACCTTTTTCCTGCTTGTTATTTTGGGCATTAACAAGCATAATTTCCAGCTTCTCTACAAAGTAATCTCCTATTTTGCTCGATATCAATCCCATTAGAGCCATTCCTATTAAAACAAAAATGCAGACAACTACCTTAATAAAGGTAGTATTAGGCTCGAGGTCCCCGTATCCTCCGACAGTGGTCATAGTCACAACAGAGAAATACATAGCATCGATCATCGGATTTGTTTTCTTCCCTTTAAGATCATCAAGGAAAAAGGAAAATATTATCGTGCCAAGGCCTAAATAAACAGCTAAGCAAACAGCCATTTCCTTAAGACCTGGGTGGAGACTCTTAAACAAGGATCCAGGACTTGGAATAAGTGAACCCTTGCCACCAAAAGCTGGAGGAACTAACTCTAGAACGCGAAATCTTCTAATAGGAACATATGCATTATCTTTTTGTGGAGTAGGATTCACTGGTCCAGACATCAAGGACTGTTTTGCGCCGTTGGATGCTATTAAGATATAATTTTTGGAGGAGAACCTGCAAATTATCCAAAAAACACATTGTATTCAAAAGTGACTATTTACTTCAATGCATAACGGAGTTAGATTTTGGCAAAGAAAATAAAGAAATAAGTACCTCCTAAAATTGGCCTTCCAAAGAGATTTAGAAGCAACTGCAGAATTAGAGTTACTGCTTGAAGCAGATCTTCATTGTATTTAAACTAGTGCTTAATGGAGAAATTTCCCAGAAAGTTCCTTCCTATACCTTGTAGAATCAACGTCTCCACATCCCTGTTTGTAAAATTTGTATCTTTACAGTTTAGTTTCTTCTCCAAATGATACACATTACTCATTTGGGAAAATGTGAGGACGAAGTTTCTTACAACAATCCAAATTAGAAAAGAAAATCAGGTATTTTGGATTATATGTACTTGAATTTCAGTGTTCCATCTCCAATTGCTTCTCAACTATGCAGTTGATTAGCTATCAAATAATACTAGGTAAACTTGAAAGTAAGAAGGGATAAAAATGGGTACCAAATAGCAACCATATAAACAAAGCAAAGAGAACTGGAAAGAAGTTTACCTCGTTGAAATTGAAACAGTAAGGAAATGGGTGGTTCCCATGAACATTGTTGTTAACCTAGAAACTTCGCAAACGAAGGCCCAGTTTAGTCGACAAACAAAACAAGGGATAGATTACCCGAACTCTAAAAGAATAGCAAAATGGACTTTCTTCCCCACTTATCAAGAAATAAATTTTCGATTTCTAAGTTAATATTGCTCTTTCGGGTTCAATAGAAACTTCTCCATATGCTAACACATGATATACAAGTTGTAAATGCAATATGAACTCTTATTATTTTCTGCATAAAAATGAAGAATAAGCAGAAGTACAATAAGATAAGTTGTTTCAATTGAACTAAGCTGAGTAGGACAATTGCATAATTTATTTTTATTTTTATTCTTTTACGTAAAGGCTTAAATTACAATTCCTGCCTTGCGAGGGCAAGCTGATAAAACAGACTCGAAAAACTAACAATATTAGCAAATTCATCAGGATTCCCTATAAGTTCACAAGCCCTTTTATCCTGCTAAGGTTCATCCATTCTTAAGTTTGAAATCTTGAAAGGCAACAGAACAGAAGTCCCATCAAGGCCTTTCGCGTTGAAGTAATCAGCGTACTCTTTCCATGTTGCTTCCCTGTAGTTTGCAGGATTCTCTGCTGAAAGCAATTCCTTAATAGGACCATAGACTCTTGGTTTTTGCATAATAGTTGGTGTAAAGAAGCAAGCTGCAGATATTCTTGGTCCTACACGATTTGCCAGCACCCTATGCTCCACGCTTACAAATTTGTCATTCGTTATGAGCTGAAAAATTAGTAACAAATTAACCTTATCATAGCAAGCAAAAAAAAAAAAGTTTAATTTGAAGTATAACTGATGAATAAAATTTCCAGTTTCCTGCCAAAAAAAGAAAAGTTGCAACGATATAAGAAGTTCCCTATCAATTGCAATATTGTAATTTCTTACATGCGCCAAAGAATTAAATATCAGAATTCAAAAAGTACTGTGTTCTTGGGAAGTTTTCAACTGCTAGTTCTTGAATTAGAGATCAATATGCTAAATGCTACTGTTCATGACAGTATGATACAAAGCTATGCCCAGATTTTGCATTTTTGTTTCTTTTTAAATATTTTGTAATGTGATTAATGAATGTACTATAAGTTTGAATGAATTGTGGTGGAGCTTATTTTTTAGCTTTAGATAAGGGAACAAATTTCCTTAAATTATGGAGATTTGGTGTTGACTCATTCTCTTTTGTATCAGTGTATATATTTTACTAAAACAATGAAATCAGTGTTCCCCTTTTACAGCTCCTTATCTTCTTCTTCTTCTTCTTCTCTATATCTGTATACCAAAAAATTCCTACACATTACCTGTAGAAAATCTCCGATATTAACCACCAAAGCACCTGGCACAGGAGGAACATCAGTCCACTGATTCTGATGGAGAACTTGGAGGCCACCGACATGGTCTTGTAGAAGCACAGTGAAGAAGCCACTGTCTGCATGCTTGCTTGCACCCATGGTTAATTCTGGCTGTGGGCATGCAGGATAGTAATGACCCATAATGACAAACCCCTCATTGCAATTCATGTCTTTCAAGTGACTTGGGTCCAAACCAAGAGCCTCTGACATCAATTCAAGCAATAAATTTCCTAACTTCATCACTTCCATGGAGAACTCCATCAGTATATCTCTACAAAATAGTTTTTGATTAAGGAAATTCTTATTATAAACAAAATAGTATCAAGGAAATAAAAAATAGCATTTTACATTTCAGTTTACTGCAACAATAAAAAAGACAGCAAAAGGAATTAGAAACAGTAATATGCTTGGCCACCAGTACACAGCCAAGACACGAATCGTGAACGAGTAACTAGTAGAAACAGTTAAAAGAAATTCAGGACAGTAGGATAGAGAGACAAAATCTCACATAGCTTAATTCAAATCATTTGTTTGAGAATCCAAGATTGTAATAATGGTCACCTAAAGGTAAAATACTTGTTGGCATCTACCTGCATACAGCTGGCAACTCTTCTGGTATGGGAGTATCAGGAGCCATTCGAAAAAGGGTTGAATCCCTCCAATTGACTGATGGAGAAGCATACAAATGAAGGTTACTGTTATACACGACCTTTCTTGTTAAATCACGAGAGAAGAATTCTTTTTTGAGATCAATATCTTGCTCGTAAAACCTACGAATACCATCCTTCATATGCTCCATGAGACTCATAGGAATCCCATGATTGATCACTTGAAAGAATCCCCAAGTCTCTGAAGCATTTCGTAATCTGTCAACAATTTCCTTGCGTGAAGCCAAACCTTTGTGAACACCTTCAAGATCTACGATGGGAAAAGTGAACTTGGCATCAGCAGCTGTATGTGAAATCTTGTGTGAGTCATCAGGTGGATTATGGAAAATGCGAGGGACAACTGTGATTCCAGCATCAACAAGGCCTTTAACACCAGCTTTTGTCTCATCAAAAGCTTTCAATTCGCTTGTTCGACAATATTCAGAGTCAATTGTGGAATCCATTTTCTCATTTGAGAGAGAGTAACTTGACATGTTGTTTAAAGTTATAATTCAAGAAGTCAGAGTTAAATAAGACAGGGAAGGCAGTATTTTTATCAGTACAACGAGTCTTAATACCCTGAATCTAAACTCTGCCATATCAATAATATCAATAATTAATTTATTTTTTCTTGGAGATTGTGATGCAAATGATGCATATTATCAAATAATTTATATTTTCAGAAATTTCAAACCTCTTATTTCTTATCCTTGAGATCATAAACAATAATTTTTCTAGTGGAGCCAAAGGCCAAAAATAAAACGTGTTGTTTGAGTAAAGAATATAAAACGTGATGACAAAGACATTTCCACCAAAAACAGAACATGTTCTTTGACTAAAAGTTGTAGTAGTTCTCAAGAAAATAAAATGAAAGTTGAAGCATAGCCTCTTATCTTGTTCCAAGTGAACTTTAAATACATTTTAGTCAATTCCAGAAAACTAAACGGTCATACAAATTTGTATTTACGCCTTTTCATTCTCTTCACTCTGCAGATTCTACAGCTCGTGAAACTGACAGCCATTTTATTTTGATTACTCTGTGCAGCAAAAACAAAGCAAACATTTGAATTTTAATTGTAGATACTAAGAAATTGTGTACTTAATTTGTGTAATTAACTAAAATTCATGTCCAAAGAACAATCTTTTTTTCTACCAGCTACTATTTTGTGTAATTAACTCATTGTTATTAAGCTTTGTGTTGTGCGAACACAGTAGTATCAAACAACATTACAATTTCAAAAGTAACCGGGGAAGTAATGGAAGAGCTACTGACCTGTAACAAATCTTCAACCCACTCATCCTGGTGCAGAAATTGGAGCCCTCCAATTGTGTATTGTAGCAGAATCATGAGGAAGCCTCTAAATCGACCAAATAATAACGCAAGTTCAGAATTTTTTTTTTATTATTATATTGATTTTTGCTTGTTTATGTTCAATTGCTTGTAAATTATGCAGACCAAAACCACTCAAAATGACCGTTTCACAAACACAAAGCACCAGATTTACTCACTTGGAAAGCAAATGATGCGCCGATCGAAGAAAACAAAACGATCTGTGTACCCATGTTTCAATAATAGCAAACGTCGACGTAGGAAATTTTTTCTTTCAAAGGCAAAGGAAAATCCGCCCGCCAGGCATGGAAAACTTTCTGCCTACCATGAAAAGTTTTATGCCTGACATTTTCGTAAAAGCCCACTACTAGACAGCTAGCCAAACTTATATGAATCTCCGATAAAGCCTATAACCAGTTCAAGTTAAATCAGCATAAACCTATTAGAGCCCATTATAACCTTTGTGCTTGAAATTCCGACTTCGAAAGCAATCTACGACATGTTTCGCCGCTCTCTTCTCTAATCAAGGCTTCGTCGATCTCTGGCGAGTAAAGTTCTTTATATTTTATTTTGGAATTTAATTTTCTGTTTAATTGGTGAGAAAATGCTAGAAAACAAAATTTCTACCGAACATGTCAATCTCTTCAAACAAATTCTCACAAACAAAACTTAAAGAATGCAAACAGATAAAACACCCAATCATTTAAAGTTTCTTACCATTGAAGATCCATGGAAATGGAGGAAAAATCAAAGTTGATAAGTAATTTCCAGCAGAAAATTTTCAACCATAATTTGAAAGACAAATCCCAGAAAATAGGAAAAATCTCATCGACTCTGACAGATTTAGAGATTTATAATATAGGTTCAATTTAATTCAACAATTTTACTGTGACAAAGCTGAAAATTTCAGTAGAACGGGGCTTCAATCCTATACAGAAATTTGCATTTCTTACTGAGCTTGCAGAGAAATGATAATCGTCATAAATAACAAATATCCATGAGTTTAAATGCTCACAATATGTACTTTACTGGCCAGTTCAGAGCTTGAAATGCTGAAGAGCAGAAGTCCCATCAAGCCCTTTAGCATTGAAGTAGGCAACAAATTCCTTAACTGTGGTTTCTCTGTACTTAGGAGGATTCTCTTCCGATAACAATTCCTTGATCGGTCCATACAGTCTGGGTTTTGACATTAAAGCTGTACTGAAAAAACATGCCACTGATACTCTTGGTCCAATACGGTTTGCCAGCACCCTATGCTCTACGCTTATAAACCTGTCATTTGATATCAGCTGAAAAGGAAAATAATAGCATTAATTAGCAAAATAAAGAAAGGCTGAATAAGAATCTTATATATATTAGCAGAAATTTTAATTACATATAGATAAATTAGTAAGTTATAAAACTTGCCTGTAGAAGATCTCCGATGTTAACCACAAGAGCTCCCGGTGTAGGAGGAACATCAATCCACTTATTTTGATGAAGAACTTGGAGGCCACCAATATGGTCTTGAAGAAGAACTGTGAGGAAATCGTTATCTGCATGCTTGGTTGTCCCCATTGTTAATTCTGGCTGAGGGCATGCTGGATAGTAGTGGCCCAGAACAAAAAGACCCTGTGCACATTCCATGTCTTCCAAGTAGCTTGGTTTCAGACACAAAGCCTCTGATAATAATTCGAATAGTAAAATTCCCAGTTTCTGTACTTCCATGGAGTACTCCATTACTATATCTCTGCAAAATAAATGTTCAATAGAAAAGACTCGTTTTTTAATACATTAGATAGAAGATGGTATTGGTTTTCCTAGTTAGAAAGACGACTCATTGATTAAAGATTGTTACTTTTTTCTTGTGTTTGTATAATGAACGCAAACCTGAAGGCAACTGGCAGCTCTTCTGGGTTGGGAGGCTCAGGAGCCATTTGTATGGCAAAAGTATCTCTCCAATTAGCTGATGGTGCACTATACAAATCAAAGTTACTATTATATACAACCTTTTTTGCCAAATCACGACAGTATAATTCTTTTTTCAGCTCAGTATCTTGCTCGTGAAACCTACGGACACCATCCTTCATCTCCTCCAGAACTCTGACAGGGATTCCATGATTGAGCACTTGAAAAAATCCCCAAGATTCTGATGCATTTTGCACTTTTTGGATGATCTCCTTGCGTAAAGCTGAATCTTTATGGATGTCTTGGAGGTCGATGATAGGAAAAGTGAAGTTGGCATGATCACAAGTGATAGTATTTGAGATCTTGTCTAGTTCATCAGGTGGATGATGGAAAATGCGAGGGATTTGAGTAGTTCCAGCATCAACAAGTCCTTTGACACCGGATTTTGTTTCATCAAAAGCTTTCAATTCATTTGTTCGTCTGTATTCGTTTTCGATAGAGGAGTTCATTTTTTTTTTTTTTTTTTTTTTTTTTTTTTTTTTTTGAGGATGAATGATACAAAATCTCTCTTTTTGTTTTTATCGCAATTGGGAGCAGTTTTTCATTGCTTATATACCACAAGTTTCACTTCACATATTAATGAAAAAAAAACCAGCCAAATCACCAAATTATAAATTTGTCCAAAGCCAAATGCAATTCACTTTTAATCATTTGGGTAATTTTATGATTTAAAGAAAACAAATCTTCTAAAATCTATTAATTCCAAAGTTTTATTCACATAAATAATATTCGTGCAAATTTTTAAATATTATCTTTGTTATTAAACATTTCATGGATTCTTAAATTGTAACCTGGTCCATTCGATTGCTGTTGACGTGTTTTGAGTATTGTCCTTGAATCTTTGAAGAAAAATTTGTTGGTTACAGACCGTATTGCTGGACGCTTATCAATCTAATCTCGACACTATTAAAGCTTCCACATTTATTTTGATTTCCAAGGACTGATGGATGTTGATGGTGATGTGATGTAAATGGCCCAGTATTTTAAAATATATGTCTACATCTGCTTCACCATTTCTGCATAAAGACAATTCAAAAAAGAAACAAGATGAACCTCCCAAATATGACCGTTTACATAATTCCTTATGGTTTAACGATATTAATAAATTTCAAGAAGCGACAATTAGCTTACAAGCTGTATCAGTTCCAATACAGTCTCTATTCCTAAGTTTCACAAGCTTGAAATGCAAGCAGAGGCAGAAGCCCCATCCTGACCTTTTGCATGTGAAGTGCCCAGTATATACTCACTCACTGTTGTTACCCTGCTACTTTGCGGGATTCTCTTCTGATTAACAACTCCTTAATAGGACCGTAGAGTTCTTGGATTTGGCATGAAATTGTGGCTAAAGCAAGCAAGCCACAGAATACTTGGCTCTACAGGGTTTGCCAGAACCTTATTGCTCTATGGCTTATAAACCTATCGTTTGTTATGAGCTTGGAAAAACATGAAGGGAAATTAATGTTAGTGACGGGTAACCTGAAATGTTGTCCCACAAAATTAAGTGTCAAAGATTGCCTGCAAAAACGTCTCCAATATTAACCAACAAGAAGGCACCAGAGTAATAGGAACATCAATCCACTGATTTTGATTGGAGAATTTGGGAGGCCACCAATATAGTCTTGAAGAAGCACTGTGAAAAAATTCACTATCTGTATCGTACTTGTACCCATCGTTTAATTCTGGCCGGGGCATGTGGATAGTAATGATCCAGAATGAAAATTCCCTTGGTGCAATCTAGTCCTTTCAAGTGATTTCTGTTCAGGACCTAAAGGCTCTGACAATTGGTCCAAGCAATAAATTTCCTATTTCATTATCTCCCTTTGAGAACTTCATCACTATATCTCTATTAAGAGATAAAGTAGACAAGGGACAAGTAGTAATAGTTTAAACCAATAGTTGTAAACCATAGTCGTAAATAAAGTCATTCTTATGGGTAAACTCTATGCTGCTTAACTTATGCATACAGCCGGAAAAACTCTTTCTGGGTTAGGAGGATCAGAAGAAATTTGAAACAAGATTGTATCCCTCAAGTTAGTCGACGGGTGCATTATACAAATCCAAAGTTGGAATTTTTAAAAGGCCATTTTTGTGTAATCACGAGAATAAAAATTCTTTTTGAACCCCATATCTTTGCTCATGAAACCTCTGGATTCCATCCTTCATTCTCCTCTAGGACACACACAGGAATCCCATGATTGACCACTTCAAAAAATCCCCAAGTCTCTGAAAGCATTTCGTTACTTGGTCAAACAATCTGTCCTTGCGCCAAAGTTGGATCCTTTTGAACACCTTCAAGGTCTATTACAGGAAAGTAAACGTGTGGCATTAGCGCATGTAAAAATCTTGTCCAAGTCATCAGTTTGGATGATGGAAATTCTAGGGACTTCAGTAATTCCAGGCATCAACAAGTCCTTTAAACACCAGCCTTGTTCATCAAAAGCTTTTAATTCACTTGCTCGGTTTATATTCAGAGTCGACGGAATTGGAGTGAGATTAATCTGAAATGCTATTCCAAATAGTAAAAATGAATTTCTTATAGGATAAGATTTAAATAATATATGAGATGGTAATATCCTAAATAATAAGTGTCCAAGAATATCTACCTACCGTCTGATCAAAGGAGTGCAGAAGCAGAAAGAAAAGTCTCTTAAACACATTTTTCTTTTCTAACAATATTTGTGATTGCAAAGTAGTCTACATATATTAATCGATCGTTCTTGGGTTACTATTTTAAAAAATAGAGACAAAACACATCAGACAGATGATTTTGAAACCATTATAAATTAGCTCAAAATCTCAAACGTAGCTGTGGAGTACAATTACAGCTAACCTTGAACTGACTGAGATGCTAATTAAGACAAACAGGTAACGTCAACTTCGATAGTCATCTTGCACCTTTAAGGCATAATGTCTTTCATTCTTTCTCAAATTTTCACTCTATCCAGAGATGTACATCTGCAAAAACTGGCGAGACAAAAAGATTTATCAACCCAAAAAAAAAATACTGAGTTGTTTTGACTAGTTATTTTAATCACTTTCACCAAAAATTACAGGTTATAGAAATTGGAATGCAAATTAATTAGATCACTCTTTTTGATTCTTGTATAACTCTATGAGTCTTACAGAACTAGATCAGTCTAATTTTATTTTATTCAGCTAAAACAAAGATAAGTCAGCTTGAAGATAAGGTTAAGTTTATTAAGCTAGAGATACAAAAAGACAGAAAGAAAGGAAGCCATTATCACCATATTTCAATTCCTTAGGAGATGTACAATTCGTCATGACCAAACAACTCCCACAAGAGCTTACACTTTACATTTGCATGCCATAAAGTTTTTTTCAGGGAGCTGGAAATGCAAGAGACTAAGAAATACCGCCTGTTACATAGTATGAGCACAATAGTCTCTTACAGTGGGTTTCTGTGTCCTTTGGAGGATTCTCTTCTATACCAAAACTTCCAAAAGCATCCATTTTAAATTTTAAATTCTTGATGTTGGCGGAAAAAATTCATTAAAAAAGCATGCAAAAGGATATCCTAGTCCTATAGGGTTTGCCAATCCTCAATTGCTGAAAACTAAAAATGGAAGAAAGGAAAATAGTGAAAATCCATTTCACTTTTAGAAATTCGTTTTTTCTTTTTTTTTTTTTTTTTATTTTTTTTTATCCAATCTAGTTGAGGATCTAATTTTATAAGACCCATTGATAAAAAATACGGTATATTTTCCTCTTTTGCATATTTATTGTCACCTTTTCTAAAAAAGGAAAAATCTTTTCTACTCTTAATATTTTTTCTCAAATAATATTTCCTTCTTTCAAGAAAGGTTCTTCTCTCCAAACAAAGCCGTAAGTTTGAATCAAATCAAAGGAAAACTTTCCTGATCCCTGTCCTAACACTATGAGACAATTTGTTTGATTCAGAGTCCCAAACAAGCGAGCGAAAGTAACTTAAGAAGTGACAAAGCAAAATTCATTCTTCTCAGACAATTTATATACCAGAAAATTTAATTTTATTAATTAGTTCAATCCCACAGAATGTAAGTGTAGATTATACAGACTGGCTTCGAAGTTTTGAACTGTTAAATTCCTTTTTTTTCCAGTTTTAAAGCTTGAAAATGTGCAAGTGCAGAATTTCCATCAAGCCTTTAGAAACATTAGTTAAAGAGTAAAGTCTTGAAGGGGTCGTCTCTCTATAGATTGGAGGTTATCTTCTTGATATCAGCTCCATTAATGGGTCCATAAAGCTTTTGAAGATGGTAATTACCATGACCGAAAAAACACTTCGCCACTTGATATTCTTGGAACCTACATGCGTTTGCCCAAACCCTGTGTTCTTACGCTCTTTAAAACCTGTCATTTGACATAAGCTGTAAAAAAAAAATTGTTTATAGTTAAATTAATTAGATCCTAAGAAAACTGTTTATTGAAAGTGACCATATCCAAGGAATTCTGTTGGAACAGAAAGGCTTGCCTGTAAAAGATCTCCAACATTAATTAACAAGGCGCTCCAGCAAGGAAGAAACATCAACCCATTGATTCTGACGAAGGAACTTGCAGGCCCCGAATTTGGTCTTGTAGAAGAACAGTAAGAAAAAGCATTATCATGCATGCTTGCGTTGCTACCTAATGTCAATTCTGGTTTGAGGACATGGTGGATAGTAATGACCCATGAATGAATGACCCTCTGCACAATTCCATCTCTTTCAAGTAGTCTGGGTTGAAGCCGTAAGGCGTTCTGATAATAGCCGAACAAATTTTAAATCCCCAACCTTTTCATGTTTCGGAGTACTTCCCATTCAATACATCCACTACAAAGGTCAGCATCAGGTCGACTCCATTACCGGCTAAGCCAAAAATAAACCAAAAAAAACAATATGATTTAAAATAAAAGTCTTACACATCCTATACTACCTGTGCAAGGTTCAGGCAAAAACTCTTCGGGGTGGAGAATCAGGGAGCCATAATGCAAAAAAAGGGTATCCCTCTAATCAACAAATGGGAGAAGTGTAAAGCCCCAAATTGCTGTTATTAGATTTTACCCTTTTGTTATATCACGAGTATAAAATTCTTCTTCGCATCTTCAGTTGCTCAAAAAACCTAACATACCCCATTTAAACACCTCTCCTGCAAGAAACTTGTACTTATTCCGTGATTAACAACCTGGAAAGGGAAACCCCATGTCTCCAACTGCAAGTCCAACTTTTTCTTACAATCTCCCTTGTGTTGTATAGGATCTTTATCAAACGCCTTCAAGGTCTACAGTTGGAATCGACAATTTGGGGTTTTATTGGAAGTTTTGTGCTTGATTCAAAGTCATCATAGGTGGCTGAATGAAATATTTCAAGGAACTTTTCAATTCCACTATCTACCAAGACCCCTTACACCAGTTTTTGTATCATGTCAAAAAGCTTTCAGCTCAACTTGTTCGATTGAGGCTCTAGGTTGGACCTGGGGCCGGAAAGGCTTATGCATTTTAGTGTTC